TTTCTCTTTTCATGAAGCCTGCATCAGAAAATGACATCAGGCTGCAGAACACTGTATCTCATGGTGTTACCAACAGTTCTGGGGACTATCTAATTTACTAATAAATCTATTGGAGTGACATGCATCTCAATATTTCACAGCTTAACAAGGAGGGGCAGGAGCAAGGCCCTGAATTGCAGTTCCGGACGATTAGCGCCACAAAACCAATTGAAGCAGGACCATCTGAACTGTCACAACAGCTTACACACACCCACCTCCTGCAAGCCAGCATTTAAATCATTTACTGAGGCCCATATTTTTCATAAAATGCCTCAACTGGACTCAGAAAAAGCCAAGCACTCCATTAAAAGTTTCCAGGACTAGGCCAGTGGTGCTCACATAAAGCGTTGCCCTGGAGTCAATAATGGAAATATCTCACCAAGGCTTTGCCAACTTCTTCCCAACTGGCTCCAGAGCCTGGCCATGGTGTCACATCATAAAGTGGAAAGACACAGACTGAGTGCCCTGCAGGGAATAGCTCAGCCAGCTCCTCACAGCAATAAAAAGCTCCGTACTAATCTTTCTTTTTCTCTCCCCCTTCTAATAAACCCACTTAAAGTCTTGACTTACATCCTAAAATCCCTCATGGTTTCATTAAGAAGCTCTAAATGGCCTTGCTCCCCTTTACCCTCAAAAAAGTCCTCATGCAAAAGTGGCACAGCCAATAGCAAAGTACCATGTACTAATATTTCTTGTTTGTTTGGGTGTTTCTGGGGGTTTTTGGTTTGTGGAAGTTTTTTATCATTACTTTTGAAGATTTGGGGTTTTGAGTTTTTTTGCTTGGTTGCATTTTGTTTGATATTTAAGTTCCATACTACAACCATAAAAGTTGTGATGCAGATGAAGAGATATTTAGCTGCTACACTGAGAATGGCCCTCAAGGAAGTGAGGGTTTTACAATGGCCTTACTTGAATAAACACTTCAATCTTTAGGTGCCCTGCCAACACTTGTAAGATCAAAGAATGTCACTTTATTCCCTGACAAGTCACAATCCTTAGGAACAGACCAGACCACCTGTGCTGCAGGGTGTATCTGGCTGTGGGAGAATAGGCATATGAAAGAAAAAGCCTAAAGAATTAAGGCTCCATTTATGATACCATCATCAAACCCTATAGCTCAATAGATAGGAACAGTAATAAAACATTTAGGATTTTCCAGGTGTTGTTATTGAAGAGCAGTATTTACATCCCAAAATCTTGTACCAGCCCAGAGACAGAAAAATTCTCACACCACTCCAGACAAGTTAGGAAATTCCAGCAATGGAGTTAATACTGAAACCCTCCCAAGCAGCAATTGTGAATTCTCAACAAGGAGTGAGCAATTTGAGTTAAAACCCAAAGCCAGTGTTGTTACTATTTCCACTGCCAAACTCTTGACTCTCAGACTTTCCGATTTTCCAAGCCAAAATTTTGTGTTATTTACATGAAAGCTCTGACATATGGTTTAAAAAAGAGGAAAGAAAAAAGTGGCAAGATTTTCATTAGTGTAGTACACAGTTCAACTCATTTTTAGACATTTTAAATTTAGGAATAATTTATGACACCTCACACTAATTTCAGATGTGACGTTATTCCCAATATGCTGTCTGTTGGACATAATTTTTATTTCCCCAGAGCCTGTCACCTCAGAGATGATCTAATCTTCCTGAAATCAGTGCAAGTGAAGCCACTTGAAAGAAAGCTCCATGGTTTTCAAGCATAGCTGGGTGGACCTCACCCTGTGTCACATTCAGACACAGGGGTTTAGGGCAGGCATGTGGAGCACGGGTGTTCAGCCAAGCTGGGGACTCAGCTGTGAAGGAAAAAAACTGCTCAGTTTTTGGATCTTCTCACTGAGTGACCCGATCTACTGGGAAATAAATCTTTAGTGCCTTTGCACTGGGGGTGTGTAAGGACTGAGTGATGGGGATGGGGGTTGTACCTGAACCACCCAAATGTCCTGAAAAACTGAGCGTTCCCCTAAGCCCTGGCACTCTGCTGCCTTCATTTCCCATGTGTGGCCAACCTCAGAACATGGAGAAAAGCAAACCCAAGCACAGCCAAAGCAAGCCTGACAAGCCTGCAGGCTTTCTGTGGGAGCTGTTTCCCAACTTCCCCTCATGTTTGCAATCAGGGGCGATGGGTGGGTGTGAGATTCACAGTGTTGGACTCGGTGAGCTGCAGTTTAGACTGACAAGAAACATGTCTTTACTATTAATACTCAGAGCCCTACTGGAGAATTCAGTGTGATTGGAGCTTTTAGACTGTTTTTGAAACACGCTCAACATCCTCTAATCTTTTTGTAGTATGTGTATCAAATACAGTTATTAATTGAAGGACAGTTCAGTGTATTTTCCAGGCGATGTTCAAGCTCCATTTACCTTCAGCCACAATTCAACAGTGAGTTTAATCTGCAATATAAGGCCCTGAAACTCATCCTCTGCTGAGCTCAGAGCCAGACCTTTCTCCTGCTGTCATTCTTGTACTTTGGAGCAGAACAGGACAGCTTACAGCTTTCTCAGCTGTTAGAATGATTCTGCAAATATGCTTTTCTTACAGGCTGAAGCAAATCTGACACTGGTCTCCTTCAAGGAATAATGAGCTGTGCATATCTAACACTGTTCTCAGAGAATGGCTGCCCTGGGAATTATCTACAGGGTTTTTTTCCTCCTGCCCTCAATAACGGTGGCAGTGTGCACGCTGAGTCATGCAGCAAGGTTGTATTCAATAATTAATATATAATCTACTTGCACAGAGATTGGCTATTCCACTTTACTTGGGGTTTACTGTATTTTGATTAAACTGTTTTTAAACTTTATACATGTCCTAATGAAAAATTACAAGTGTCATCACTCCTAACATCCCATAAGATTCAGATAGTGACAAGTCAATGCAGTATCTTCCTCATCTGTGTTACCTTTAACAATCTGTTTCTAACCTTTTGCTTGAATTCTTTATTACTCTTCCAAAATATGTCATTTTTCTGCAACCATTTTCTGCATATTGCTTCAGGACTGTATTTTTACCTGATTATTTTCTATTACCAGACCAAAAATGTTTATTCATTTCTATGTAATGTATCACATAAGTTTCCTCCCCAGATCAAAGTTCAGAATGACCACGTTAATCCAATTTCCTTTACAGACTCCAATGCCTTACAGCCAGTGCCTTCCTTCACCACACACACACAGCCTTAGTAACCCTGGATATCAAGGTGTCAATTTGAAAACCTCATTGGCTGACATTACTTCTAAAAGCAAATCCATTTCTGGCTTTCCATCTTGTCTCATCCTCCCTTTTCTTTTATCCATTTTATCTTTCCTATTTGCCACATTCTAGGCAGACAGACTTTGCATTCATGGTATCAAGCCTGTGAGCATTTTGGAGTGTTTTCTTTTCCATATGCCCATATTACCTTCTGCTTTGCATAGCACTTGTTATGCATGCATGATCACAGACTATTTCTAGCATTAATTAAGACATGAAATTAAAGTGGGAAGTATGCTATTGGTCACATAATACAAACAACACAAATTTGCTTTAAAAATGAAATTACTGAAGTGTTAGCAAACCTCTTCATACTGTCAGAAATAATAATGTTTACAATCTACGTGCCACAGAACAGCCAGAATTCACAAGTGGATTTGGAATATTATTTCCACTTTAGAAAGATACACATGAAACCTTTGAGCAGTTCATTTAGTTTAGATACTTGTCTGGAAGAAAACAGAGGTTTGCGTCTCCTGCTGCCTGTCAAACCATGCAGCTGCTGCCCACAGTGACCCAGCCCATGACCAGGGCTCACTGTGCTTGCCCAAGAACAGCTTTCCTTGAAATCCAATTAGGAATTTTAGCAGAAGAATGACATTTTCTTAGAAATGGAATGTTTCACAGGACCATGTTTCAGATGAACTTATGACAGACACAAGCACTGTTCCAAAAGCAGTTTCTCAGATTCCCAGCCCAGAAACTCAGACCCCCAAGATTTGCTATTGTAAGGAAATGAGCCAATAAGGATTGTCCAAAATCTCATCAGGATTTTGGAGATTCAGGAGATCTGGGGCATCTCATCATGCCATTGATCTAGAGCCGAGTCCTGCATCTTCTAGAAGCCCAAATTATCAAGGCTGCCACTGTCATCAGTGATTTACTCCATCACCTCTTCCCTGTCTCTACAAGCAAAAACGAGGAACCTCCCCATTCCCACAGCACTAACACACCCCCTCTTCTCACAGCTACATAAATAATGTCTTTATCAAGCGCCTCATACAAGGATTCAATCCATTTTGCATGTTTAGAATACTAATTTTTCATGCAAACAGGTTTACTGGATGTTTTACAAGAGCTTGCACATGCACATTTCTGCTGAAATGTGCAGAAATGTGCACCTTGGCAGACTCAGTGTGCAGCCATCTCCCTGACCTCAGTGCTCTGCTGCTTTTCCCTCTGCTCTGCTGCAAAACCCAATCATGGAATATCTCTGGAGTGGTGGTGTTAATACAACCCATGTAATGTAAAATAATAAGTAATAACAGTGAAATGCATGTTCCCTGGGACTCTGTGATAACTCCAGGTAAAAATAATGCCATAAACTGGGAATAGATTCATAAATAAATTTGCACTCAGAAGGATGACTTGTTTACTTAGGCACAATGGAAAACAACACATTATAAACACCTGCATTAAAAAGAAATTATAACCACAACTTCACAATAAACAGTGAGGGATATCATCATGTACCTGCCTTGCACAAAGCAAACCACCAGACAAAGGGCTCTGAGGGTGATTTGTGGAGGGCATCTCCTCTCTTAGGTCCCTCTTTTGCACAAGGAGTTCAGTGTGCTCCAAAACCAAGCAGGAAACACTGACCTCCTTTAAAGGTCCAATCCTTTATTAAGAAGGCTCTTTGTATTGGGGAAGCCTTTGTGAGTCCTGCCTGCAGCCCCAGGATGGGGCACATGCCCCACAATTTGAGTACTCACGTGCTACGCTGAGATGAATGAAGGGACTGGTCTTGTTCTCCCCGTTCTTCTCGTTGACTGCTTGGACGTAGTAACCTCCTGCATCTGTCTCTGACACCCCCAGGATCACCAGCTGGTTCTCCAGAGTGATGGCTCTGTTTAGGGAAGAGAAAGATCACACTGAAACCAGAAGAATGTTGTCCACACCACACCTCAGACCTGACAGCCTAATATAATATTGACTGGTCATGCTGTGGAATCAAAACCAGCCCCACTTCAAATACAGGAAATACAGACCTCAGTTGCCTCTAGGCCTTTTCTCTATTTAGATCATGTAAGATGCTTATGGTGACACACAGAAAAAGCTTCAATGTGTAAAATGGGGGCAGTTTAAATAGCAATAAGAAGTTATGCAAGAATCAGCAAATGACTCCTGTGACCTCCAGGCTGCAAACTGCATTTTTGCGGGGTGATGACAATCCTGGCAATCATCAGGATGCTGCAAAGCCAGATTTATTGAAAACCTTCTCAACAAGTGAAAGGCAGCCTATTAAAGAGTCACACTCCAGGAATTACACACAGTTCACTAAAATAAGAAAGTAAGAATCAAAGACAGAAGAAGATCCAAAGGTAAACTTTCTGCATTTATGGCATCACTAGTTATCACCTCATCACAGACAAGACCATGGGCTGTCACAGAGATGATCTGTGGGAATAGGGAGGGGTTTTCTTTCATCCACAGCCCTGTAGGTAACTGGTGGGGGCCTGGAGGGGTCAATACATGTCATTGTCTAACACAAGTCAGTTCTTAGAGCTGATGTATAACGAAGGTTTCTGTGAACTCCCTCATAGGCAGCATTACACACTTGGCTACTTTACTTTTCACATGGATTAGATGGCCTTTTCTTGACTATAAGAGATAAAGGATTAACCTAGAGGAAACATGTAAGTATTCAAGGGTTTGAGGAATAGGACACAGGAAGCTCAAAACCCAGAAAGATAAAAGAAAATGTAAAGTTCCAGGGAAAGGCAATGGAGCAAAGAGCTCATCTACTGCAGCCTGGGACAGGCACAGACTTGGAAATCAGTGTAAGGCTGGGAGGAAAAAACTCCCTTCACTTCTGATACTTGATGAGAAGCCATGCTGAGTTCAGCTGTGCTATTAGATATATCACTGAGCATGAGGGTAAAACAACTTATGGAATTATTATACTGGAAGAAACAAATTCACACATCAATAGGCTCAAAAAGAATCAGCACTGAATCAAAGCATTTGTGCACTAATCAGTCAATAATAAACACCCCTGCATTCCATCCTCCTGTTTTGCCATGGGGTGGTTACCCTTAGTAATAAACAGCTATTTTGTGCTGAAAAAAACCCCAAGTAGCAGTGGAAATCACACATTCCTAGTGCAGCAAACTGGTTTTTATATGTAGGGAGAGCATTAGAAATTACAGAGAGAATTCAGTCGTGTTCAAAGCCAGGCACTTAATTCATAACACTTCAATTTCCTGATGTGGATACAAAGAAACCTGAACTTCTCTGAAGCTATCATAGAATCAGAGAACCATTTAGGCTGGAAAAGATCTTTAAGATCATGGAGCCCAGCCCTGCCAAGGCCGCCACTGAGCCATGTCCCCAAGTGCCACAGCCTCATGGTTTTTAAATCCCTCCAGGGATGGGGACTCCACCACTGCCCTGGGCAGCTGTCCCAGTGCTTGAGAACCCTTTTGGTCAAAAATTTTTCCCTTATTTCCAACCTAAATCTTCCCTAGTGCAAATTTATGCTGTTTCTTCTTGTCCTGTCAGGGAATTGCAGAGCAAGAATGTCCCCCTTGAGCCTCCTTTTCTTCAGGCTGAGCCCCCCCAGCTCCCTCAACTGCTGCTCAGACTTCTTCTCCAGACAATAATTACAAAAAACTGCTGGAAAATGAAGCTAAATGTTCAGCTGTGAAATCATTCATTACACACCACCCAAAGATCCTGCTTACAGCCTCTTCCTTGGCCACTTTTATTGTAAAAACTACTAAAAAAAAATCACAGTACTTTTTTTTAATTCAATGACACTGTACTAGTTAATTGATTTAGAAAATTAATCAAAGAAACTGTGATAGATTTACAGAGTGAGAATATAAAATACAATTAATAGGACATTTGATAGAGCAAATAAAGATAAAATTCCAGTGCAGTGCTAATAATTGAATATTACAAGACAATTACATTCATACTAATTTCTACTTTAATTCTAAAGAAAGCATCATTAGAAAGATTCTTTGAAAATACTGAAATATATCTCAGGCAACTTTGATTCCAGGTAAGACTGCACCCAAAGTTTTAAAGGTGATCCTTGAATACTGCTGAGATGGACACAGTTACTATCTGCTTTAAATTGGCTGAAAATTTTGACACTTAACCCATTAAGCTCATAATAATAATAATCAAGACCAAAGGACATGAAAATGTATTTATGAAGGAAATTGTTGAAAATGGAGTGTGGCTTTTTCATTTTGATACATTTGCTCACACGCCAGTAAAAATTTGTGTCACATTTGTGTGTGAAAAGTAAGTAAATTTTAGAAAGCAATCTACATAAGCATAAAGGTTTGATATTAATTTGTATAGGAAAAAAGAGTTAGAAGATAATGCAACTCCTGAAGGCAGCTCTTAGGGGTCATTAATTACATGGTCAAATTTAAACTCAAACTCCCCAGATGAGTTATTGCTATGTTAATAGTTCTGTGAAAAATGGCACGTCCTGAGTTCATTAAGGGAAGGCAGGTATGGAGGCAGCCAGGAGCCTCCCAGAGCCCGGGAGTTTTATTTACATCACGCATGAGCCCTGTGCATCAGGAAAATCAATTAGTCACATTTTAAGGACTCATTAATTCCAATGTTTCTAAATCATCCAAAGCTCCAGGCCCCAGCCCTTACCCGGGCTGCAGCCACTTTCTGCACAACAGCTGCACAGAGCATCCAAAAATTGGCTTCACATGTTTTCTTGGGTTTATTGTTTGTTTTCATTGTCTGATATAACTTTTAAATTCTGACAGCACCACTGAGATGTTCCAAGGAAAATCTGATTCCTGGGTGCTCAGTTTAGCAGCACATTTCATGAAGATGACTGCAGCAGATGGAGTGGACCTGTCAGTAATTCATACCCAGCACAGAAAGCATGAAAAATCTAAATATTGCTTTTTTAAAGCAGTATCAAACTTAACTCTAACATTTTTGAGACAGGAGCAACCAGCAAGCAAACTAAGCAGACTGATCCTCTGGGATTTCTTAAGCTAGGAAAAGAGCATTTTAAAGCACACTCTTTAATAGGAGAATTGTTGGGATTTCTCTGGAGCCCAGCAGAAGCCTGCAGGGAACACAGTGGGAGGTGGTTGAATGGTGGATCCAAGATTATCATGTCCAAAAACATCTCAGTGGCACCTTCACCACAGAAGGAGCTGGAGGCTGAACAAGGCTGATCTCAAAGCAAAGGCAAGGAGGCCTTTGAGATGACAAACTGTTTAGGGAATACTGTTTAATCAAAATTATGGACTGAGGGGATGGGAAAAGGCAGCAGTGATGGGCACAAATCATTATACAGCTCATTATTCTAAACACCAGAACACAGAACAACACCTTCTGAGGTTTCCTCACTTCCACTCACAGCAGTCAGAACTGAGCACGTGGACACCTGGTCTGAAGTAAAGCATCCCTGCCCATGGCACAGAAAATAGATCATCTTTATGGTCCCTTCCAACCCAGACCATTCTACAGCTGTGCACTCTGGAATTGTTATCTGCACCTTTTCAAGTTGTCCAAATACTATAAACTCTTCTGCAAATAATCTCTAAGCTTCATCTAAATCTTATGGGATTTTTTTTGTTAAGATCAATGGGACATGAATGAGACTTTTACAAGTAAAGATAATTTTTCAAAGGGGATGCCACTTTTATGGCCTTTAAGTGAAAGGTTTTGGAGTTAATGCTGCAAATGAACCCTTCAGTATCTCAAATAGGTGGATTTAGATTAATAATGTTTTTTATGGGAAAATAGCAAAATCTACTCTACAAGGGGATAATTCCCCAAAGTTAGATATTTGTTATGCTATTAGTCTACCAGATAACACAGAAAGTAGATAATACTGAGTTATAAAAATATAAAATGAAAATCAGAGTAACCTGATTAGGCTCTCTCTCATAAGGCACCATCTGCTCCTGAGCCAGCATGCAATATTTTAGTACAAAGGCCTTCATAAAGCCTCTTTTCCAATATTACCTCCAGCTAACATGATTATTAATCCCTCTACACCAGATATTTTTTACTGGAGGGCCTCTGTTCCCCTTTCAAAAACTTCTGTCCACACTACACAGCAAGGTCCAATCTCCCCATGCCCCAGACACCACAGAGTACCACTGATGCTGCCAGAAAAGGGAGAGATTATGGAATAATCACAAAATAATTACTGCAAGACTTCCCCCATGGGTTTCCCCTCTTGGGAAAGCAGGGATCTGCTGCAGTTGCACACACAGCTGTTCCAGGGGATCTCCGTGCAAGCACAGCTTAACCCAGCCAGCACTTCACCACCCTCATGGCTCCTGGTGCTGAGAGGGAATTACGAATAAAAATTATTTAAATACACATCTCTCACAAACAGTCGTGTTTTTCAGGACTCAATCACAGGGAAAAAGATTTGTGTTTGTGCTACAGAGCAGCAGCTCCACAGGGACAGAGCACCAAGAGCTGTGACTGCATGGCAGTTTTGTGGGATATTAGTCAGGTTCTTTATACATTGTTACTGCAAATCACCCATCTATTAATAAAAATTTTATACTTGCACAGACACTGGATATTAAATAAAACTACATTGAATTTAGAATCAGGGCAGTTCATCTATTGCTTCTCTAGCTGTGTCAGGGCACAACACACGTTTCTGGGAAGTGACTGGGATTTCTAGTCGTGGAAACATCCCAAGGCTACAAAGAGTAACCAAGACAGTCCTAATGACCAGGCAGAGGCCAAACACCACCCTGAAATGAAGAACAACCGGCTATTGATGTGTTTAGCAGATGTATTCCAGAGGAACTGAGATAAACAGCAGTTTCCACATTTTACAATTGACTTCCCTGTAGTTTTGGGACTTGCAGGGTCTTGGTTTAACAA